TACCCAACACGAAAACTTACATAATCAGGGTTTAAATGAACTGCAACTTTCACACCTGGCACTTTCACCTTTGAAGAGCTAAAGCCAAGTTAATTTCAACATTGTAAATTTTGTTATTTGAAAACTGCTCACAACAAAACGTTTGACTAAAAACCTGTGAATGTCTCCACAAACCCATTTCCAGGAGTTCATTACAAGTTTCTTCACTTTTACTAGTAATTATCCAGAAATATATTAAAAGCAATTTTACTGTCACGCCAGTAAAATGTAGTTAATGGAACGTGACGCTAGTTATCAATAACCCACTCATGGCGGCTCTTTTTCAATGCAATCAAGCTCCAAAATGCATTGTATTCTAGCCTTCCGGCCTTGTTGTCTTAAGCAGGCTAGTACGAGCCACAGCATTGGCCATTATTTTCAAAGCACTATTCATGGCTAGAGTCTGCACATGCAACTTTTTTTTATCAATGCCGAGTCATTCAAAGTTTATTTCAGGCAACACACCAACACATATCCCATCTCCATGATCAGGTTCCTCAGGTTCTTGTCATCGCCCAGCTCACTCTGTCGCCGCCTGCCTTCTACCTCTACCGCCGTTTGGGTGCCGCTGTTTTCTTAAGCGAACATTTCCACTGGAAGCTTCTTCTCGCTTGATTCTGTCATGTCGCCGCCTGCTTTCTACGACTTCCACATCTACCGCCGTTTGGGTGCTGCTCTGGTTCAGGTACGGCGTTTTTTCTATATCTTACTATTTTCCTCATTTGTTCCGCTTCGCAAATAGGTTGTTTTTCCTTCGTCACATTTCTTGTCACAGTTGTGCGGTTCCCGTTGTTCCGATCTCCTTTAGCCCGCATGGCGTTACACAAAACAATGATAGGTCTGGGTTCTTCCCCAGTCCCCCCCGTCTCACTGCCATTCTCGCGAGGTTCGAACAGTATTTATTTGTTTCCCTATTTCAAATGTTTTTTAAAAGTCTGCCGAGGCCCCAGTCATCTCGGTTTCAGAGGCTGCATTAATTCCCCCTGGGGACGGGCATACAAATACACTGCATGTATTTTTACGTCTACGTGTTTCAGAATCCCAGGTTAGCATGGAAAGGGCAATTTAAGTTCGTGTTGAGTGTTCTAATGTATACGTTAAAAGGTTTAATTAATCTGTATGCATGGAATTTCCGTAACAGATAGCTTGTACCAGATCAGCTTTAAACTGCTCACAACAAAACGTTTGACTAAAACCTGTGAATGTCTCCACAAACCCATTTCCAGGAGTTCATTACAAGTTTCTTCACTTTTACTAGTAATTATCCAGAAATATATTAAAGTATGTGTAATTAATATCAAAAGATCTAGACCATGATCTCATTTTCTCTTGTTAATATTAATTTAAAATATTACTGTAAATTCATTTTTTTCTATTTACTTAAATCATTTTATTTCTTTTGTATTATTGTTGACTACAGTATTTTTAGTTCTAGTAAAAATAGGGGGTCCATGGACCCGGTCCATAAATTTATGGACCCGGTCCATAGATCTGGTCCACGGACGGGTTCCATGAACCAGGGGTCCATATATTGTACTTTCTCTGGAGGCAGTAGGACGCCAGTTCGCTGGGTTCATTGGTAACCATTTATATTCCGGGTGGGTAGAGTGTCTTGCCCAAGAACACAACACAATGTCCCCCACCAGGGCTCGAACCAGGACCGCTATGGGCCGGAGGCGAGCGTATTAAGCATGAAGCCACCGCGACACCACGGTGAACTCGGTGGACAAGAGAAGTGATACTAAAATAAACTAAACACCGTTACTATGAGCTAAATAGCACTGGTTAAACAAAACAAAACTACTGACGCAGTTAGCGTGAGTAGGACACTCACCTCACCTCCTATCATTGTTCTCTATTGAACATAATTTAAAGCCTTCAAAATCATATGTAATTCCACTCTGTATAGATCTCCAGCCAGCTGCGTATCTCTCTCTTTCATTGTTCTTTCCTACGTTTGACCTTTCTCTTTCCTTCGGGTCTCCATGAGTCGTTTTGAAGCTCTGGTACTGGAAAGAGCTAAGCGTCTTGATCATGATGTCTTTTTCGCTTACCTTCCGTGTTTCGCATGCATGAAGGAGAACAGGTTTAACCAATGTGTTCTAGCGGGGTTTTATGAAAGAGACAGAAGCGACCGTTGATTGATGTCGCTTCTCCATCTACAACCGCGGTCACAAGGGTTGGAAATTTCATTTTATACGTATTTTGCCCCTCCCCACCCCTGTGCAATGTTGCGAGAATACACTTTGATCTTACGCAAGTTTGCATTTGACTACCTTATTATAGGAATATAACGAAGCATGTTAATAACGCGCACAAAATTTACGCGTCATGAAATTAACGCAAATTTTCGAAAAGTTATGTTTACATACATTTAATTAACGCGAATTTCCGTGCGGTATGTTGCAGAATTAAGACGTGAATTTAATATTTTTCGCACTCATTTCGTTAGGTTACAGCGATAAAATATAAGCCATCTCCACTTGTTCAAGGTGGATTAGAAATACCTATTGCGGTGACTGTGAAATGGGATGACATAAATGCGATAAACATTTTGCGCAAGAAAGTTGAAGATGTGGGTTATCCCCTCGGAGAAGACGATCGCTACACTGATGAATCTAAGGACATTTTGAACTTAATATTAAATGATGATGCGTCAACCGACTCTGACGGAGACGTAGAGGAATTGTAACTTTGCGTATAATAAAGGTGTCCTCAAATAACGATGCTTTCAATTAACGTCGTTTTAATTAACAATGAGGTAAATTAAGATACATAAAATTAACGCGAATTTTTGAAATTCGCGTTAATTACATGCATTGTTAATTTCCTATAATAAGGTATTTTCCAACATTGACGGGGGAATGGGGATGCTGGCACTTATTTAATAGGTATTACGGTTATGAGTTCATGTTTTTTGCCATTTTCCAACGCAATTTGTTCAGGGTTGTCAAATATTTTAAATGCAAAAAACTTACGCAGAATTTTACAACTTCGAACTACACGTGGCACACGCACTATTTATCACTTGCTCAATAAAATGACTGCGAATATCTGGTTATAGCCTAATTCCCTAACTTGATTCGCTGCTTTCATTTTCCCTCAAAATTGAGGATTTAAGTATTTCTATCTCCTGTAACAAGCAACAAAATATATCTCAGCTTATAATATCTCAAGAAAGAGGGTCTCAATGGGGTAGTGGCTTTTACGGTTAACGTTTAATATTTTGGCTTTTTTACACCTAACGGTTAATTTTTTAACTTTTTTACGGCTAACGGTCATTTTTTGGCCATTACGGTTAACAGGGGATTGTTAAAAATTAATTGCCATTGTTCTAGGAAGTTAAATATTAAATTCCATTGTTGTGAAACATCCTGAAAGTCTTTTTGTGTGTGTACATTCTCAGTGAACTATATAACTTTTATGCTTTTACTGCAGTAGAAAAACATAACGAATACCAAAATAAGATACAGTTATAAATTACTTAAAGGAAAAATTAGGAACGACAGATCCATGTACATGTAACCTGTGTCACAAGTATATTTAAATGTACGAGTTTGTTTGTTTGTAAATGGCAACACATCTATATGAATCATAAGGCTTTAATTAACAGGTTTGTGAAAATGAAGAATGATCATCGCAGTTAGTTTCGAGCGAGGTCAACTTTTTTTTTATCAATAAATTGACCTCGCTCCCAATGGGTGGCTTCATAGCTCAGTTGGTAGAGCATCGCACCGGTATTCGCGGAGGTCAAGGGTTCGAATCCCGTTGAAGCCCTGATTTTTTCAGGCTGCTTCTTTCTAATTGCTCAAATTGGAAAATTAGCTGCGATGATCATTCTTTATTTTCATCTGCGACTGCAGTTGAAATATGAATTATTTCACATATATTTCATAACGGTTCGTATGTCCTGGCTTACCATTTTGTGCAAGTTTAAACATCAAAGCTTGTCCAGACCTTGACTTGTCCGGCTTCCAGACCTTGTCATTATTGGCTTACCAATAACCAGTTCTTCTGACTCAATATCGACATCATTGTCATCCGAATCGCTCTCGTACTCCTCCATCTGGTTGAAATCTGCAGTTGACGCGAGGGTTAGCTGTGGAACTGTGGCATCGCTTACGAAACTCAACCCGGACACATCGGAAACAACAGAGCGCATCTCAGAGGAGGCAGTGGGCGTTTGTTCAACTTGGTCAGCTGGAAAGAAGACCCTTACAGTGGCATTAGGATTTGCATTTGAATACACTGCCGGAGGAAGAGTTCCTGGCGTATCTTTAGTAGTCTCGCTCCTCACGGTTCTCTGACGCACAGGACGGTAGTTTTCCAGCCAATCTCTCATAGTCTGTTCTTCCCCTTTAGAAAGCTCATCAGGGGGAAGTGGAGTCATAAACCGTACACCCTTGAACGACAGTCCAGTCCGTGGCACTGGATAGTATGAAGATGGATGTGTAAAGTATTTTGCACCCCACTTCGTTATTCGCTTTAACGATTCCTTCGATATAGTGCTGAAGTCTATGGCATATTGAAGGGCATCAAATGTCTCGTGTTCAAAATGCGAAAGCGCGTGTAAAATCTCTATTATTGTGATTAGTAATGTTTTCCAGTCAATAGCATCTTTAGTATCTTTGTAGTTTGATTTTCTCTTATTTGAAATCGCAAAAAGCTACGATCTTTTGTCTCCAAGAGACATATTCTTCGATCGAGGACGAAAAAGTCTGGGCTGCTGAATGGGGTGGCAAAATTTTTTTCTCGCATGGCTCTTCGCACTCGAGAGGCGTTTGCGTTCTTTTAAATCCACATTCTACATTTCATTTGCGATGCTTCGAAGCTGACTCAGAGGAAGGTTTTTAATTGTTAAGGTAACAATAGATGAAGAATGCTATTTCGTAACAAATATATATGCCCCGACGGATTACCGTGACCAGGACTCTTTCATCCGTCGTTTTAGCAAACAACTCATTTCGAATACAGACACCTCAAAAGTTGTTATTTCAGGAGATTGGAATAGTACTCTTAACCCAATCGATAAGCGAGGTGGCCAGCCTTGGAGAGCTAGAGACTATAGAAATTCTCTCATGAATCTCATGGAAGAACTCAATCTTATTGATATTTATCGACAAATCCATCCCACCACAAAATCCTTCGCGTACGAGTCAAAACCTTTAAATTTAAAATCAAGGATCGATTTTTTTTCCTTATTTCTCGTCCTCTGTGTTGTTGCGTTAAGAGTACAGAAATTCGAACATCAATAGCACCCAACCATAAATCAATATTCCTAAACATCGAAATTAAAAGGGAATTCGCAAGAGGCCCGGGATTATGGAAATTTAATAACACCTTACTGGAGGATGACAATTACAAAGAACTCATCGAATTCTACTACCCGCAAATTTTAGTAAAATACCATGAAGTCACCGATAAACAGCTTCTATGGGAATTGATAAAAATGGAGTTACGCGCGAAAACGATTAAGTATTCGAAAGAGAAAAGATCTCAATTAAGAAACGAAGAAAAAGCTCTTCAAGAAGAACTTCAAGAACTGGATCGAAAAATCTGTAACAACGATGTCTTCGATCAGGAGACTCTGGAAAAATATGAATCTGCTAAGGGTAAATTGAAAAGGATACACGACATTAGAGGGAAAGAAGCTATATTTAGGTCCAAGACAAAATGGCTCGAACAAGGAGAAAGGTCAACAAAATACTTTTTCAATTTAGAAAAAAACAACTACGAGAAAAAATTAATTCGGGAAGTAAAATTAGAAAATGGTGAGATAATTTCAAATTTTGCGCAGGTTAATAAAGAAATTGAGGACTTTTATGGCAAAATGTATACCTCTAAAATGTTTGGCAGCGATGTATCTGAACACAACCATAACATTCACAAATTTATCGAAGGTCTTAACATCCCACAATTAAACATAGAAGAGCAAGAATCTCTAGAAAAAGATCTGACGTTCGAGGAACTAAAAGATGCTCTAACATCCGTCGCAGACAATAAATCGCCAGGAGAAGATGGATTCACAAAAGAATTCTATGAAGCATTCTTTGATCTCCTTGGGAAATACCTTTTAAATTCTTATAATGAGGCGTTTAACAGAGGATCATTATCTGTTTCCCAGAAAAGAGGGACAATAACGCTTATTCCGGAAGGTGATGAAAATCTGTCTGATTTAAAGAACTGGCGCCCTATATCTTTACTCAATATCGACTACAAGATTCTTTCAAAAGCATTGGCCAAACGAATGGAGCAATATTTACCTAAACTAATTCATTCTGATCAAACAGGGTTTGTCAACGGAAGATATATAGGCCAAAATATAAGACTACTCAGTGACATAATGGATTTTTTAGATAGCAAAAAATGCCAGGGAATATTTCAGTTCGTAGACTTCGAAAAGGCTTTCGACACCTTGGAATGGAGTTTCATATCAAAAACCTTAGAAGCTTTTAATTTTGGAAATAATTTCAAAAAATGGTTTAATGTTCTTTACAACAGTGTTCAAAGCTCCGTCGTAAATGGCGGGTTTATGACAAACTATTTTGAAATAACAAGGGGAGTTCGCCAAGGCTGTCCACTTAGCCCCTCCTTATTTATTCTTGCAGTCGAGTTGTTAGCCCTTAAGATACGTCAAAACACGAAATGTGAGGGCATATATTTACCAAACAATCAAGAAGTAAAAATTTCACAATTTGCAGATGATACAACTATAATAACTAACAACACGGACTCTCTCAAATCGCATCTTCAAACGATCGAATGGTTCGGCACCGTCTCAGGCTTAAAGTTAAATAAAAAAAAGACTAAGGTAATGTGGTTAGGTACAATCAAACACAGTAACTCGAATATACTAGAATTTAAAAGCACAAAAACCCTATTAAAGTTCTGGGCACGTTTCTATCGTACAATCAAAACAAGAACATCGAGGAGAACTTTCTTAGCAGAATTCGAAAAATGAAAACCAAATTGCATCTGTGGCTTTCCAGGGATTTGACGCTATACGGAACATCTTTATTAGCTAAAACGTTAAGAGTTTCTCAGTTAGTCTATGCAGCATCCATGCTGACTGTTCCATCTTTAGTTATAAAAATGTTCAAACAGAGCTTTTCTCATTCTTCTGGAAAAACAAAAAGACAAAATAAAAAGAACGGTCATGTACCAACCTCTTGCGGAAGGAGGTCTTAATTTTGTGAACTTTTTTGCTGCAGTAAAATCACTCCGCCTAGCGTGGATAAGTCGGTTATTGAGTAGCACCACCGACTCGTGGAAAGCAATTCCAAATTATTATTTCAATACCTATGGTGGATTAAAATTCCTTCTTAAATGCAACTATAACGCGTCCTCCATAAATAATAGTTTACCTACTTTCTATCGGGAGCTTTTAGAATATTTTCAAGAATTTAAAGAGAAGACTAATATATTTTCGTATGGCAAATTCCTGCTATGGAACAATGAGGCAATAACCATTGACAAAAATACTCTTTTCTGGAAATCTTGGTTCAAGAAGAACATCCTCCCTGTACAAGATATCCTAAATGCAGATGGAAACTTCCTAACATTCCAAGAATTTCAAGATAAGTTCAACATAAAAACAAATTATCTCCACTACTTCCAACTCATAGCAGCTATTCCAACCGACTTGAAGAAAAAAGCAAGGGAATGTGAGGCTCCCTCTCGCGAGCTACTAAATACTACTACGGTATCTTTGTTTCCTAATGGCAGTCCTGTAGATTTGGCAGACATGCGATGCAAACACTATTATAAAATACTTAATGAAAACCCTACAGTAGAACCAACGGGCATCAAAGCCTGGAAAGTCAATTATGCCGATACTTATACAGAATGGAAAAACAAGTTTTCTTTTATATATCAATCAACAAGAGACAACAAGTTAAGACTGTTAATTCTCCTTTAAATTATTGCATAGAATTATAGTAACCAAAAAAGAGCTACTCAAATTTCGATTAACAAATGACGCAACCTGTATCTTTTGCCCTAACTCAGACTCAATAGAGCATACTTTCCTACAGATCCATGTACATGTAACCTGTGTCACAAGTATATTTAAATGTACGAGTTTGTTTGTTTGTAAATGGCAACACATCTATATGAATCATAAGGCTTTAATTAACAGGTTTGTGAAAATGAAGAATGATCATCGCAGTTAGTTGCGAGCGAGGTCAACTTTTTTTTTATCAATAAATTGACCTCGCTCCCAATGGGTGGCTTCATAGCTCAGTTGGTAGAGCATCGCACCGGTATTCGCGGAGGTCAAGGGTTCGAATCCCGTTGAAGCCCTGATTTTTTCAGGCTGCTTCTTTCTAATTGCTCAAATTGGAAAATTAGCTGCGATGATCATTCTTTATTTTCATCTGCGACTGCAGTTGAAATATGAATTATTTCATATATGTTTCATAACGGTTCGTATGTCCTGGCTTACCATTTTGTGCAAGTTTAAACATGAAAGCTTGTCCAGACCTTGACTTGTCCGGCTTCCAGACCTTGTCATTATTTCTCGTCCTCTGTGTTGTTGCGTTAAGAGTACAGAAATTCAAACATCAATAGCACCCAACCATAAATCAATATTCCTAAACATCGAAATTAAAAGGGAATTCGCAAGAGGCCCGGGATTATGGAAATTTAATAACACCTTACTGGAGGATGACAATTACAAAGAACTCATCGAATTCTACTACCCGCAAATTTTAGTAAAATACCATGAAGTCACCGATAAACAGCTTCTATGGGAATTGATAAAAATGGAGTTACGCGCGAAAACGATTAAGTATTCGAAAGAGAAAAGATCTCAATTAAGAAACGAAGAAAAAGCTCTTCAAGAAGAACTTCAAGAACTGGATCGAAAAATCTGTAACAACGATGTCTTCGATCAGGAGACTCTGGAAAAATATGAATCTGCTAAGGGTAAATTGAAAAGGATACACGACATTAGAGGGAAAGAAGCTATATTTAGGTCCAAGACAAAATGGCTCGAACAAGGAGAAAGGTCAACAAAATACTTTTTCAATTTAGAAAAAAACAACTACGAGAAAAAATTAATTCGGGAAGTAAAATTAGAAAATGGTGAGATAATTTCAAATTTTGCGCAGGTTAATAAAGAAATTGAGGACTTTTATGGCAAAATGTATACCTCTAAAATGTTTGGCAGCGATGTATCTGAACACAACCATAACATTCACAAATTTATCGAAGGTCTTAACATCCCACAATTAAACATAGAAGAGCAAGAATCTCTAGAAAAGATCTGACGTTCGAGGAACTAAAAGATGCTCTAACATCCGTCGCAGACAATAAATCGCCAGGAGAAGATGGATTCACAAAAGAATTCTATGAAGCATTCTTTGATCTCCTTGGGAAATACCTTTTAAATTCTTATAATGAGGCGTTTAACAGAGGATCATTATCTGTTTCCCAGAAAAGAGGGACAATAACGCTTATTCCGGAAGGTGATGAAAATCTGTCTGATTTAAAGAACTGGCGCCCTATATCTTTACTCAATATCGACTACAAGATTCTTTCAAAAGCATTGGCCAAACGAATGGAGCAATATTTACCTAAACTAATTCATTCTGATCAAACAGGGTTTGTCAACGGAAGATATATAGGCCAAAATATAAGACTACTCAGTGACATAATGGATTTTTTAGATAGCAAAAAATGCCAGGGAATATTTCAGTTCGTAGACTTCGAAAAGGCTTTCGACACCTTGGAATGGAGTTTCATATCAAAAACCTTAGAAGCTTTTAATTTTGGAAATAATTTCAAAAAATGGTTTAATGTTCTTTACAACAGTGTTCAAAGCTCCCTCGTAAATGGCGGGTTTATGACAAACTATTTTGAAATAACAAGGGGAGTTCGCCAAGGCTGTCCACTTAGCCCCTCCTTATTTATTCTTGCAGTCGAGTTGTTAGCCCTTAAGATACGTCAAAACGCGAAATGTGAGGGCATATATTTACCAAACAATCAAGAAGTAAAAATTTCACAATTTGCAGATGATACAACTATAATAACTAACAACACGGACTCTCTCAAATCGCATCTTCAAACGATCGAATGGTTCGGCACCGTCTCAGGCTTAAAGTTAAATAAAAAAAAGACTAAGGTAATGTGGTTAGGTACAATCAAACACAGTAACTCGAATATACTAGAATTTAAAAGCACAAAAAACCCTATTAAAGTTCTGGGCACGTTTCTATCGTACAATCAAAACAAGAACATCGAGGAGAACTTTCTTAGCAGAATTCGAAAAATGAAAACCAAATTGCATCTGTGGCTTTCCAGGGATTTGACGCTATACGGAACATCTTTATTAGCTAAAACGTTAAGAGTTTCTCAGTTAGTCTATGCAGCATCCATGCTGACTGTTCCATCTTTAGTTATAAAAAATGTTCAAACAGAGCTTTTCTCATTCTTCTGGAAAAACAAAAAAGACAAAATAAAAAGAACGGTCATGTACCAACCTCTTGCGGAAGGAGGTCTTAATTTTGTGAACTTTTTTGCTGCAGTAAAATCACTCCGCCTAGCGTGGATAAGTCGGTTATTGAGTAGCACCACCGACCCGTGGAAAGCAATTCCAAATTATTATTTCAATACCTATGGTGGATTAAAATTCCTTCTTAAATGCAACTATAACGCGTCCTCCATAAATAATAGTTTACCTACTTTCTATCGGGAGCTTTTAGAATATTTTCAAGAATTTAAAGAGAAGACTAATATATTTTCGTATGGCAAATTCCTGCTATGGAACAATGAGGCAATAACCATTGACAAAAATACTCTTTTCTGGAAATCTTGGTTCAAGAAGAACATCCTCTCGGTACAAGATATCCTAAATGCAGATGGAAACTTCCTAACATTCCAAGAAAAAACCGATCCAGAAAGAATTCCAAACAAAAATGTTGATGCAATGGCAAATAGAGAAATGTGCTCTTTACTAATTCTGTTTCACCCCTCTGTAAAATTAATACTCCAAAAAGGAGGTAAAGACTCGAGGCGATACCTTTACAGTTATTAATTATACTTAAATCTTTTCAGCACTACACGTTAGCACTATTGTATTGAAGGTAGACTACAAGTAATTCTTAGGTGACTTTAGATTTATATCTTGTAAGATATTTTCTGTCTTTTTTTTTCTTCTTTTTTTTTTGTATTGATTTATTTTTTTTTAATTTTGATATATATTTTTTTTAATTTGTTTTTCTCCGTCATTTAGTTAGTATCGTTCTTTTTCCCAGCTGTATTGTATTAGAAAATGTAATGTAAATGTTATATATAAGAGGAGTGTATTAAATAAGTGAAATAAAAAAATAAAAAAATAAATATAGTGGTTAAAAAAAAAATCTTTGTAGTTTGGATTAACATTTGTGACTTTGCTCATAAGGCTCTTCACACCATTCAGTAGAAGCTCGATAGAGGTTTGTGTATTCTGGGACACTGTTCCTTGAGGATCATTCGTTGTTGAGTCCTCCTTGAGGTTGTTTGTTTCTTTGACATTCATCACCGTAGCTTTGATGTACTCATCTATCGTGACGTCAGATTCTGAATGACTTGCTCTGGCATAATTGACTGAGAGGTATAGAGGCTTTGCAAGTAATACTAAAGGTGTCATAAAGAATGCCAAGGTGTTCTAAAAAGTCTGTCGTTCAGACAAACCCGTCATAAGCTTGAGTTTCCCTGCAGCAGCATCCGTTGTGAAAAGTGTATCTGAAACACGACAAATGCTTGCACTTGAACGAAGCTGCAGCTTTTTCCAGTCCCATCCTGCGCTCCTTCGCTTCCATCTCCGGCAAGAGTTTCAACTTTCTTGGTCGATGGATTGTACCACTTTACTTGACGACCCCCAACATCTGTTAAAACTAGTGTGCCCTTGAATCTTGCTACTTTTTTGATTTCTCTGCAGTTGTCAGTCTTATTTTCAAGCACATTTTTGTTACCTCACTGGATTCCATGTCAAAACAGTACAGGCCACCGTTAAAATAGGGACTTTTTGCCGCAGCGAAGTAAATAACTGAAGAATCAGATTTTGCAATCGACTATAGGCTTCTCTTCTCCAGCGCGATAGAGACTTACTATCGCTTTCAATACAGCCATGCATCGCTACCGGTCAGCATGAGAGAAAGTAGAAAGTCGTAAAATAGTAGAGCTGTCAAAACGTCTGTCAACTCGCGCAACGACATCCATGCGACAAATTATGCAGACACTTTCGACACTTCAGGTTTCGATTGTAATTCTCACTACTAGCCTGCGAGCAAGCTCTCCTATTTGGGCGAGTGAAACGAGTCTCGCGAGAACGCGCGAGCGAGCGGCGAAGCCGCGAGGGGCAGAGGAAAGGAGAGCTTGCAACCATCCCTTACAAATTTTCATTTGTACTTCGCCCAGACGAAGGGAAATACCATTGGCTGAAAAATGACGTTCCGGAAATCAAAGTTGATTGATAACAGGCCAAGCCGCTTCGTCTTTGTGTCAAATTTGGTTCTCAGGGGATCAGATTGGTACCGAGAACTTGTTTCAGCCCTCAATGTAGACGGGCTCGTTTGTTGTAATTCTCGCAAAGAGAATATTGCATGCCAAGGATACGTCGGACCGAGTTTGTAGTTCTTGTGGAAGGAAAATGAAAACCCTTCATCAGTTGTATTCATTTGTGTCAAGCGCCTTGTTTAGTTCTGAAAACCGGGAGAGTGAAAGTGAAGAGTGATTAAAGCGCTGCCTTCCAACATCGGTTTCTTCGCCCGATTGAATTCTACTGGGTAGAAAAATTCAGAAACATGTACTTGACAGTGTAGCTGTGTAGCTTGATCGTAAAAAGGAAAAGAGAAAGAGTTGGAAGCAACTGGAGTAAACCTTAAGAGAACCAAGTGCCGAAAAACGCTATTCTCCAGTTCCAGACGGACAAATATATGATGTTTTTGTTGGTGATTGCCATGGGGAGTAGTCTTCTACGCTGCAGTATGGACGACCTTTCAAAAGTAAACGAAACGAGAATCAAAGTAGTGAGTTCTTATCCGAGCGGACACGTTGAAGTTCGATGTCCCCGTGAAAAAAAAAAAATATATCAGTGATATTAAAAACATTGCTTTATTGCTGTTGCGAAAGCGATTTATAAATAAATTATTCTACGCGCCCTCGGCTGTCTAAACTTACTTGACAGGCGGTTGTCACTTTTCTAATCTGCCGCACGCTTGCGGTGACAATTTTCGCGCTTTCTGGAGTCCCGGGGTTTCCGGGGTGGAAATGAAAATTTATGAGAGATGGTTGCAAGCTCTCCTTTCCTCGGCCCCTCGCTCGCGCGTTCTCGCGAGGCTCGCTTCGCTCGCCCAAATAGGAGAGCTTGCTCGCAGGCTATTCTCACTACCAGAATCCGTGGGAAAGAACGCAAAAGCAGTAAGCGTTCGAACGTGACTGTGAGCGTGACGTGAGAGTGGCAATGCCGCGAGCCGCTACTAGCGTGGACAAGAACACATAAATGCATAACACATCAGACTCAACAAAAGATTTCGAGACCTCATTTTGTGGCTAGATTTATTTGCGGTTAACAATTTTTACGGCTAATGGTTAAAATTTTACATTTTATGCCTAACGGCTAAATTTTTGGGCGTTTTACGGCTAGCGGTTAAGGGGGGAGAAACTCAACTACAACAGCTGTACTCTTTAAGAGGCTATAAAAGCACTTAAACATCTATAATTTTCGAAA